TTAGTGCATACTCTCTTCTCTCACAGTATCTAAAAGAATAACATGAAAAACACGTCATACTGAGAAATTTCTACAATCTGCAGGAAGAGATACGAAACAAATAAGCTGTCAAATGCATGTTACGTCAAATAAGCTGTTGTCATTGTCAAGAGAGAGAGATAAAAATCTGTGAGTTAATATGACGCAATTCCATGTAGAGCCAAGCTTGAAAATTGATAACGTGAAAATATAAATGTGTTCAGCGACTACCAATTGAGCAGTGTGATTTTAATTAACGGACGGCTCCACAATTAGTTTTACAAGATGCGGATTTTATTTACTGTGCTTTTATGCCTTACTTTGGCTGCCTGCATAAATGCAGATTATCAGGACAGTTTTACCATAGGTGAACGTGAAGAAGGTGATTACCTCATTACTAATAGAACCGTTTTCAAGGTAAAATGATTTATAAGTTTGATCAATTCCTTTATTTTTATGTGATAATTGAAATAAATGTGAAACGTTTCATCTTAGAATTTTGCATAATTTGAAATTTAATTATTGAATTTAAGATATTTTTACCATATATAATATATTATAACTTACGTATATTATGATCAAATTTTGTAGATATTAACTTTAATGCGATAAATCTTATTTAAATGTATCTTAAATCTGCTATTTGAATTTAATTTAGCTTTATATTGCAATTTGTCATCATTTTATTTAAAACAGAAATAAGACAAAAACATAAACCATACAATGCATCATATTATAATAACTTTATTAATTTATACATAAACTTTATTGATAATAGATTTCTGTATTTTTTAAGATTTTTTTAGATAACCAAATAATATTAATTTCTATCATGCATTCTTATAATTCCATTAACATTATTATCCTTTTTATAAATTTCAGCCTCCCATTTTTTGGAAACCCATGATAGCAATGATCGGCGTAAGTCCCCCTGAAGATAAAATTATCACCCATGTTCAAATCACAAATGTAGGAAACAGACAAACTCAATTTATACTGCGAGAACTCAATGCAACAAATATAGTAATAATGGTCATGGGAAAAATCGGAGAAGGGATACTTTGTCATGTGGAGGGCTATGCAAAAAATATTTCAACAACACCTGCTCCAATTAGCACATCTGAAGGTAGCGAAGAAAACAATAGTGAAAACGACAACACACCCAATGCCGGGGATGGAAATACTAACAACTCAGGCGAAGGTGGCGATGGAGAAAACAACGCATCTGATGCCGGAGATGGAAATACTAACAATTCAGGCGAAGGTGGCGATGGAGGAAACAGCGCACCCGATGCCGAGAATGGAGATAACAACTTAGGCGAAGGTGGCGATGAAGGAAACAGCGCACCAGATGCCGGGGATGGAGATAACAACTAAGCCGAAGGTGACGGAGGAAAGGTGATGGAGGAAAGAGTTCACTCAATGCCGAGAATGGAAATAATAACTCACAATCAGTAGAACGTGGCGATGCGCAATAAAGGAAATAGCACATCAGATGCATGAAGATCAAAACAACAACTCAGCCGAAGATAGGCAAAATAGTATAATTTTACAATAAATACAAAACATGTTTATATTGTTTATCAGATAAAAGTCATTTTAGTTACATATTGATATAAAATTTAAAAAAATCATTATGTAAAAAATTCTTAGTTATCAAATTTAGACTATTTTGCTGTGATTTATACATACATGTCTAGCATAAAAATGCTAGACATGTTTGTCAAAGTTTCGAAAGTGTATGTTTAAAATACTTATATTATTGTCGAAAAATTTAATATAAGTGTCTTATTAAAAAGCATTATTTTAAAGTATAGATCGGAAGAGCACACGTCTGA